TTTGACAGAACTGGTGATTGAACTCAGGCCCTTGCACTTGCCAGGGAAGCACTTATTCCACTGATCCATTTCTCCTGCCCTCTTGATATTGTCCTTTATTTTTTTTTATTTTTTAAAATAATTTTTTTGAGAAATAGCAATGAGACAGTTTCAAAACCAATTACTAGCACAGTTTCAATAATTAATCCATTGCATATTGTTGTCTTCGTAGTGGTTATATGTAGTACAAGATGCAGACATGATATCCTGTCCAAACACTATTAGTACAAGTCTTTCTTCTCATTGAATTAAGAGAAAGTAGCTGTATATCTATCCTATTTTGTATATACAGATACAAAATGGTCCTTCATTTATATCCTCTTTTTTTTTGTTTGGTTTCGTCAGAGATGGGTATTCTATTACCATTTAAATATTGTAGGTATGTGAATTCAGCAAAATAATCCAATACAGTCCAGTAATCCATAATAGCAGTGGGTTATCTGTAGGACTGGAAATGTCAGAAGTTGTTGACTAGAGCCTTTTACAGCTCAGCATATTAATATGGCTTTACTTTTTATACTTTGTTTTTATATTTTTCTGCTGGATGGGTAAGAACAACATAGAGCAAGACCTTTATAACAAGAAATGTAACTTTTGTATCTGACAAGGTCAGTGAAATCCCCTCAGGATTTAGCCTGAAACCCTGTACCTCAGATTGTAGATCCTTTGTCCGCGTCAGCCATGTAGATGAGTCACGGCCACTGCTTGACAGATTTGCTATCTGTGAAAGCCTGAGAGAATGTTTTCTCTCCATGTGACTCTCCTTAGGCAAATTCTACATCATTGATCACTTTCCTCTTTGGCCCCATAATCTCCTTGATCAAAAAATTTGCCCAGGGTATTCTGTTTAGTAGCAAACTATAAACTATAACCAAGACCCCTGAGTTCAGAAATTGCTCCACTATGGCACTTACACAATTGTGGCTCAGGCACCAAATGATGTAATGAATCACTCTGTCTACACATTGTCAGTTAAGTAATAAATACTTACATTTTCAAGAAAGTAAGTCCTGCGAAAGTTATGCTTAGGACATGTGGATTTCCGTGATCATATGTTTTGCAACATTTTGTCATTTAAATTTTTTTCTCAAAGATTTTCAGTTTGGATCTTGGCGGTATATCAGCAGTGGTCCTAAATAGCTACGATATAATAAAGGAATGCCTTGTTCATCAAAGTGAAATTTTTGCAGACAGACCATGCCTTCCTTTATTCATGAAGATGACAAAAATGGGAGGTATGTTTTTGTTCTACTACTTGTTCACTACATTATATTCAATCCCATCCATTTTTTAAGCAATTTTGATACATACAGTTGGGATTCTTTTGTACTGAGTAACAAGAAAGTATGGATATATATTACATACTTACTTGTAAAACTTAGCATTTGAGGACATCTTTGGAATCTTTGGATGAATCACTGTAATATTTTAGACCATTACAATCTAATTTTATTATGTCAGTTCTAATAAGTTCTAATAAATGTTATAAATTGTGTTTGTAAAGAATTAACACTTCATACCTGAAGATTTATGAAACAAGTCAGGAGTATACAGAGAGAGGGAGGGAGGGAGGGAGGGAGGGAGAGAGAGAGAGAGAGAGAGAGAGAGAGAGAGAGAGAGAGAGAGAGGAGAGAGAGGAGAGAGAGAGAAATGTCCTTTTAGTGCTAGTCTTGAACACAGGGTGACATTTTTAATATTGTTTTGCTTCTCATACAACCTGAAGCAGCTTTTCTTAACTACTCATCATGCTGTGTGAATGGAAAGCTGTGGGGGCACTTATGTAAAAGATTAGCATTCTGTATGACTTAGTGATATGCAACAAGAGAAATACTGAAAGTTGACAAAAATTGGAAAGAAGAAAGCAACAAAGAAAAACCTAAAATAGAATGTGGAAATCAGATAAAATTATTTTTTTTTCTTTAGTACTGGGGATTGAACTCAGGACTTTGTGCTTGCCAGGCAGGCACTTATGCCACTGAGCTATCTCCCCAGCCCAAGAGAAAATGATTTTTTAAATTGTTATTAAGTTTATTGATAAATTTTAGATGTACATAATGATCACATTCATCATAGGGAATTTGTATGCATACATGATATATTTTGATTCCTCTTTTGTTCCTAATCACCTCTCCTCCACTCTGCCCATCTTTCCCTCCCTATTCATTTGTTTCCATTTTTCCTTTTTTTAATCATTGTTTTTCCAGTTCCCTTTCCTCCTTCCCCCTTCCATCCAACCTAGTTCTTCTTTCCTTTTGAACAATTTCTTCCCATTTCACAATATCTGTTGTACATTTTTGGTCTTATGTACTCTTTCAGTTTCTTATACCAAGGAGACAATGAGGCATTTATACATGTAAATCCAAATTATTTCTCTTAAGACTATGATTTGAGGATGCAACCATTCACCTAGAAATACCTCAAACTTACCCTTTTTATAGCCAAGTAGTCCTCCATAATATTTTCAAAAACTCCACATCTTTTTTTTTTTTTTTTTTTAACCAGGGATTGAACTCAGGCCCTTGCGCTTGCCAGGAAAGCACTTATTCTACTGAGCTATCTCCCCAACCCTCAAGCCCCACATCTTTATTCAGTCGTCAGTTGATGGGTATCTGGGTTGTTTCCAAGATTTAGCTCTTACAAACTGTGATGCTATAAACATAGGTGGGTATATATTGATTTGGTATTATGTTTTTAAATCTTCCCAAAAGAATTAAAAATAGATACAGTGATGTCAATGCTATAGAAATTTTTTTCAATTTTTCTCTGAGAACTTAACATTGAAAGAAAAAAGAAACAGTATCTTACTTAGAAAACCTGAATTGTATTAATTGAAAGGGAAAAACAATCCTCTGTAAGTCCCAAAACAAATGCTCAACAAATGCAAAGAAAACATAAATTTTAAAGACCAAATTTTGAGGCCAAAATTTGATACTTGAGGCTGGGGAGATAGCTCAGCAGCTTAAGCATCTGCCTGGCAAGCTCAAAAGAAGGATAATTGAAAGAGCAAAATAAATAAAAGACAAATCTCCAGATTCTTAAATCTTAAATCTAAAGAGGAAACAGCTAGGCTAAAGAAGAAAAAGAAGTATAATAGGAAAATGTCTTGGTTACTTTTCTCATTGCTGAGACAAAATACCCAAACACCCACATGTTAAAGGAGAAAATGTTTATTTCAGCTCGTTGTTTGTAGAGATTTGGTTCCAAGGTAGGGTGGCAAAGCACAGAGACATGGCAGAGGAGAAATAGCCCATGGCAAGGCAGGGAGAAAACAACAAGCAGCAGCACAAGCAACCTCCCTTTCCCTTGAATCTCATCCAAGTTACACACCTTTTGGGTGATGTCAGCCACATGCAGGGGAGGCTTTCCCATTATCCGTACCCAGAACTATGCTAATTGCAATCAGTGGACTAATTTAGTACCACAAACCCTTAACACATGCCCTATATCAGCTACCTCTGAAAAGTCCCATCTACAAGTGCATAGCCACATTTTGGGGGGAACATCTAGATACAAGCTACAACAGAAACATTTAAAGAAATAATAAAAAAGATGATATGATAAGAATATTTGAGACAAAGTATGTATTTTCAAAGCTACAAGTTTATAGTTCAGGTTATTTTATCATAAAGTGATAAAAGTAGCATTAGACTTAACATTTCCAAAAAAAGTACAAGAAAAATAAGTAGAAATTATTTATATTGTTTTAAGGTATCAGTACTGTGGCCTAGGGCCACAGTCTCCTGCTTAGAGGTATGACAACAGAACAGACAAAACATGTATTTTAATTACAAGGGGCACCAGGATGGTTAAAGCCCAATGATGGACTAGGACAGGAGGCACAGGGTCCTTGACTTTTACTAGGAACACAGTTGACTGGTGGGTGCTGGTGGGCTCTAGGAAGTGGTGGAAGTGAACTGCTGATGCAGTCAAAGTTTAAAAATTGAGGAACAATGCATTTTAGGGAAGGCATACAGGAATAGATCAGGGTTAACTAGTAACCTCGTGGTGTGCTAACCAACTACTGAGCTAGATGGAATGTGCATGAGTCAGGTCCTCAGCTGTTGTGTGCCAGCTTTCAGGTGCCAGAACTTCATGGACTGTTTGCTTGTCTCAGCTCTGACCATTGGCTTCAAGATTAATCTGCCCTTAAGCCAGCCAGGGGTCTCACTACAAAGCATGTAGGCCTAATACAGACTTTCCAATTTTGGGTGACAGTTCATTAATATTTATTCTTACCTGCTCTGTACCACATCAAGCTAAAAAATCATGCCTGCCATTAGCCCATTGTGTGAATAGGAAAAATGTAGATTCAGCCCCATACCCAGGCACACAGTGCACTCAGTATGGGTTTATTATAAACAGTGTTAATGTGTGCCTTGTACATGGGTCCCTCTGCATACATTCATCCCAGGCTGCTGTCATCTTACTCCCTTTGTACCAGCTGTTCCCTGTATCTGCAGTGATCTTAATCCAGGTATTTTCTTGACTCCATCTCATTTACATTTTTATTCAAATGTCACCTTCTGTGTGACCCTTTTTCTGACTGTGTTGCATCTCTTTGCTTGCTGTAATATTTATACTGTTTGTCTGTCTCTCCTACTGGTAGTTCCATGAGACTAAAGATCTTTGCTTCTCCTTTTCACAGATAAATCTGACATTTTAGAACACGTCCCTGAAATAATAGTATGTGTTCCACAAAAACATGGTGAATGCATATTTGTTGAATGAATAGTTGTCTGGGGATATGGAAAACAGAAAAAGATTACAGGAATATAAAATTGCTTTACTACAGAGCCACTGACGTACGGCTAACTTTTTGATAAGCTCCAAATTTGAAAATGGTTACATAAATGTTGTTGGAATGTAAATTTTATATGTATATTACAAATTTTATATGTATATCACATATCCAAGAGAACACAAGTTTGCATCATAAATATACCTATGTCCCTGTGGCAAATGAAATTCCACATGAAGTACATGTCACATAAATGAGGATAATGAGCTACCTCCTTGATAATTAATTTAAAGAGGAAATTTCCATAGGAACCTCATCAGAACAACAGATACACTATGGAAATACAGGAATGTTATGACAGTATGAACATTTGAAAAGTTTCAGATACATCTTTCTGTATTTTGTTTGTTTCTTTGTTTGTTTTTGATCTATGCATTTCTATTAAATTGACAACTCATTAAGGATGCCCTTGCTTCTGCCTTTGTTAGCTTGTTGGACATCACAAGCCTTTCCCAGAAGATAATTACAATTCTAAAATACAATGTTGTTTATGAAGAGAAGTTCTAAACCTAGAGAAATGATTGTTTCAGGTATTTAATTGAAGATAAAATTTCCCATAGAACATAAAATCATTTGTATTTTATAAATTAAACTTACAGTAAAAGTTAGATAATAAAATTGCCTGAGCCTAGTTCATCTGTCTTGAATTACTTAAAACTGGCTAGTTCCATGTGGCAGGAGAACTGCATCTTTTTATCCAGTTCCAGATGAAGAATATATAGACATTTTCACCTGTAATATTCTATGGCTACTCAGTTGCAGAAAATAGGACCCAACCATACAGTTATATAGAAAGATAATTGTGGAAAAGTTACTGTCCATTTAGAAAGATTGCTTTATACACCACACTATTTTCAACTCCTTACTACTTTTTTTCCAGGCTTACTCAATTCCAGATATGGCCAAGGATGGATTGATCACCGAAGACTAGCTGTAAACAGCTTTCGATATTTTGGATATGGCCAAAAATCTTTTGAATCTAAGATTTTAGAAGAAACCCAATTTTTCATTGATGCTCTTCAAAAATACAATGGTAGACCTTTTGACTTTAAACACTTAGTGACTAACGCTGTTTCAAATATAACAAATCTGGTCATTTTTGGAGAAAGATTCGCTTATGAAGACACTGATTTTCAGCACATGATTGAGTTATTTAGCGAAAATGTGGAACTAGCTGCCAGTGCCTCCGTCTTCCTTTATAATGCCTTTCCATGGATTGGCATCTTGCCTTTCGGAAAACACCAACAGCTGTTTAGAAATGCAGCTGTGGTCTATGATTTTCTCTCCAGACTTACTGAAAAAGCTTCAGTCAACAGAATGCCTCAGTCACCTCGGCATTTTGTGGATGCTTATTTAGATAAGATGGATCAAGGTAAAAATGACCCATCTTCTACTTTCTCCAAAGAAAACCTCATTTTCTCAGTGGGTGAACTCATCATTGCTGGGACGGAAACTACAACCAATGTTCTACGCTGGGCAATTCTTTTCATGGCCCTTTATCCCAGCATTCAAGGTGAGGAGTCTCTTGATGGTCCCATGGCCTGTCCCTAATTATAAGACTCCTATGTGTTTTGGAGCCTTTAGCCATGCATAAAGCATTTGTAAGAAATTCCCCCTGTGGTAGCCAAAAAGAGAATTATTTCATATTTTTGGAGAGTTTTCAAATTTAGTATCTCACTACATATTAAAAAAAGAAAAAATTTGGAAATAGATTTTATTACCCCCGATTTATAAATGAGGATAAAGACTGACTGTCTGGAAGTAGCAGAATTGGGGCTGAGATTCTGTTTTTTTCTCATTCAGTGCTTCACTGTTTTCTTGGCTAAGAATAATGTCACTTCAATTCTGGGTTTAACATATTCACAACAGGGCTGTAATTCATAGGTTCACTGCCAGGCAGCTTGAGTAACCAGTGTTACTTACATGATTGTCCCATTGGGTGGCATTTTATTAATTTTATTAGTAAAATGACCAATGAAAGTGATTAGCTCTGTTTGTACCACCAGTGGTACAAGCCACCAGTTAGGACAGTCATGCATGTACCACTGGTAGTTCAAGCCAGCGAGAATGTGTTAATTTTTGTTCTTAACCTTTTTAATGTGTTTTTTATGGCTAAGTCACTCAAGGTGTTAGCTACTATTAATGTAAGATATATAGGATATATTTAAATAAAGTTCCCAGATAATGAAATTTTAGGTGCACCCATATCCTGCTGGCTTATTATATGTTCTCCTTTGTTTTAGCCCAAAGGATAGTTATTATAGATACCATTCTAGGAATTATATAATAACTTAAATGTTTTTTTTCTCTGACAGGACAAGTTTGGAAAGAGATTGATTTAATTATAGGCCCCAGTAGACAACCTTCTTGGGATGACAAATGCAAAATGCCATACACTGAAGCAGTTTTGCATGAAGTTTTAAGATTCTGTAATATAGTCCCATTAGGGATTTTCCATGCAACCTCTGAAGATGCAGTTGTACGTGGTTATTCCATTCCAAAAGGCACAACAGTAATTACAAATCTTTACTCTGTACACTTCGATGACAAGTACTGGAGAGACCCAAAAGTGTTCTGTCCTGAACGATTTCTGGACAGCAATGGATATTTTGTCAAAAAAGAAGCTTTGATTCCTTTTTCCTTAGGTAAGAGGACTTCATAGGAAGATAACTATAACAGTGAGTTGTTATGGATAGCATTTTAATCTGAAGCTTTCTCTAGAATTAAGTATTCCAATTCTGAAAACAGTTCTTATAGAAGAGAATCATTTGAATAGAGGTAATTAACACCTGATTCTACTCAAAATAAATCTTAACTTCTAACTAGAGTTAAACTGTTGAAAGCTGTAGGTTATTCTGAAACTCTTGCTAGTGGATCTTTGGCTTGTAATCAAACTTGGACCCCTAGAAGTCAGTAATGGGTGACTGTTAAAGGAAAAGGAAAGAGAAAAAGAAAAAACAACTTGAAGAGAAACTAGAATCTAGCGCTCTTGCCTTCCAGTTTACTGTGTTATCTCCAACTAGGAAATGCTGCTTCTGGTATGAAATATGATACAGATCACAAACCCATGGAAGATGAACCAAAAACTCTCACTAATCATTCAAAACACACACATATTTAGTCCATTGGGATGGGCTTCTGTTGAGAACACAACAAAATGTCATGCATCAAATTAGTTCTTTCATAGCATATCTTAGGTCAGTGGTGGTGAACCTATGGCACATGTGCCACAATGGGCTGTTTGTATCATTGAAAACTAATGCAACGTTGGCCATCACTGCATAAGCTCTGTTGTAGTATGCAAGGGAAGTCAGATTTGGGACTAAAGTCTTTCAAAAAGTTTATTATCTGACATAAAGAAGAAAAATAGTGGTTCTGGAAGCTGAACTGCTAATTTATTGGGGATTTAAGAAGATCCTTTAATTAATAAGGCTTTCTCTAACTTACTTTAAATTCCAAATTCCCTAAGTGTGATCTAAATATTAGACATAAACTTTGCTAAATGTATGTTTCCAAACATATCTGCTTTTTCTGTTTAGGGAGAAGACATTGTCTCGGAGAACAGCTGGCTCGGATGGAAATGTTCTTGTTTTTTACAACATTGCTTCAGCGGTTTCACTTGCATTTTCCACATGAACTAGTTCCAAATCTGAAGCCCAGGTTAGGTATGACTTTGCAGCCCCAGCCTTACCTCGTCTGTGCTAAAAGGCGCTGAAAGTGCATAGATGTTTTAAGGAAGACAGATACATGTTTACCTTATCCCAAATCTTGTTTAATCTAATCAGCATATTTGGGGAAAAAAATCACAATATCAAAAAGCAAAACAAATATGACATTAAAAAGAGCAATAACTAGCATGATATATGACTTCTTTTCAAGTTTCTGTAGTTCTCAGGTACAGTTCTTGACTGAGGAATGTGAAGGTACAAGTGACAGATGTTGTATAAGATGCTAAGAAGGGCTGTGGATGCTCTAAGCTGAGCCACTTTCCTGTCATCCTTTTTGACTCCATTTACCTGCTAGGGGAGCTTTGTTTATAAATGCCAGCTCCTTTCTGATCCCATATTATCAGTAGAATGAAAATGACAGATGGCTACTAATGCATTGCAGGCATAGACAGCACCGCTTTGGGGGCTATCAGTTACCATATTTAAAGATCAAATTGTCTTATTAAGTAGAGTTCTTTCCGGGGGTTAGATAACATGCAAATCCCCAAAAATGCCTTTGAGTCAGCATAGTTATATAAGTTTGGACATTTGAGAGTGATGGAATGCAATTAAAAATTTTACCAAAATGGGAAAATTGAGAATGCCCTGAAAAAAATTGGAAAATGTGTTTAGTCATTTATTGTCGTGCGCGGCCTTGCCTGCAAGAACGACGCGACCACTGGTTGGTTTTCTGCGCAGCTCTTTATTGTTCTCTTACATCCGTCTTCTCTCTGTCTTCTCTCTCCCGAGGCCCCTGCTCTTAGCTTATAAGTCCCAGGGCTTCCAACCATGGGGTGCCACGTGTGTACTGCCCATTGGTCCAGGTATGCGGAAGCAATGCATTAGCCCAAGTCTTGGCCATATATGGAGTTGTTTACTCCAGGAGCGCTCACCCCTTGAGGGGGTGGAAGGCAGAAACCGGCGCCATCCTAGGGCGCAGCTACACGCAGCTCCCTACAATTTATAGCTATTTTTTACATCATCATTTTTATGAAGTTGTACACTAAGGGTTGATACTCTTATAATTTGGTTTATGCATAGAGAAGCCTCAGAATAACTGCACATAGTAATGACTTGTATTAAGAATAAGGATTTAACCTCAATTCATACACATCTATTAAATGCTTTCAAGTTTCTATGTTATAAAATAGTCATTGACTCTCTGGTGTATTAAGATTTCTTCAATTGGAAGGAAAGTGAATCCTATGCAAATTTGCTTAAATAATTGAAGGAAACTTGGAGATAATATGGAAGTTTTAGCATTGATATAGCCTAGATGCTTCATGGTGTAATCAAAGAACCTGTTTCTTCCCATTCCCTGGTTTTGCCTTCCAGCTGATAGCAGCTTTATCTTAAGGCAGGGTGCGTGGAAATGCAGGTGTTTGACCCCTGACATGCACAGCAAGCAAGTTTGGGTTGTTTCTGAGATAACAAATAAGTTTTTCTTAAACCCTCCAGAAGGGACCAGCAAGACAGCTGAGCAGACTAAAGCACCTGCTTAGGCAAGCTTAGGCAAGCACAAGGACCATGGTTCATCCCTGGCACCACATGCTGCACCAGCCCCACCTCCAGGGTGGGCTGAGGTGGCCACTGTTCAAGCTGGTGAGACAGGCCCGTAATCCCAACTCTGGGAAGAAAACAAGAGGATCACTGAGTCTGACCAGCATAGTGAGACCCTGCAACAACCAAGTATGTTAAAAGAATAAGTAAGGGCCAGTGGTATAGCTCAGTGGACTAAGCACTTGCTTAGGTAAGCTCAGGGGCCAGGGTTCAATCCCTGGCACCACCTGCTGTGCTGGCCCCGCCCCAGGAGCACTGAGCCTGCAGCAGAGTTGGGCATGGTGGTGCACACCTGCAACCCTAGCACAAGGGAGGCAGGATTCAGGAGGCTCAAGACAAGTCTGAGCTGTGTAATGAGACCCTGCATAAATTAAGTAATTAATTAATTAAAAATTTTTTAAAAAGCATTAAACCCTTCAGAATACTGTTCCTTGTGTCTGAGGTCCTGAGTCCTGTACTCATACATTAACTTAAACTTGTGTTTTGTAAGTGGGATTATGGTTCCCTGAGGCCTGAATAGGTAACTATTAGAACTAGGGATGGAATTGGCCTCCCCTCATAGTGCATGTCTTGCATATGGGTGGTATAAACAAAATCAGGATAATTATGAAATGAATTTTAAGTCAAAAGACCATTTATAATATCTACCTCACTCACTTCTATCTGCTTTCCAGCCTGCCTTTGTGAATCTTAACACATGTACTCATAAATCTTTAATATTTGTTCCTTCTTTGGCACAACAAATCTTTCATCCCTAGGCTTCCCTCTTAACATCATATCACATATAACAGTAAGCCTAAGTTGAACTACAGGAATCTCAAAGCCTGGGCAGTCCTGCTGAGCAATGCAGCTTTGTGGACTGCAGTGGATTGTAAGAAGTTGAGAGGCTTTTTTTTTTTTCTTTGCCATATGCGTGCAGTTTAAAACATCTGATAGGTATTGGAAATTTAAGCCTATGTTATGGTTTATATCTAATGCCCCCCAAGGACATTCCCTAAAGATAATTTTTATGGGGGAGATGTAGCTGAGAGTGATGTTAGGACGGTGGTCCTGGCTGAAGAGAAAGCTCCCTGTGGCATGACCTGGAAGGACATGGCTCCCTCCCCAGCCTGTCGCCATGACATGAGGATCCTTCCTTCACCCACACCATTCTGCCATGACCTTGTATGATGAAGACTGCTGAACATGAACTGAAAACTATAAAACATTTACCCAAGTAAAGCTCTCTTTTATTTATATTTCCTTTTTTTAGTACAAGATCTACAGGGTCTCACTACACAGATCAGACTCATAGTGATCCTCCTTTTTTCATCATCCCAAGTGCTGGGATTACAGGTGTGGTCCACCATGCCCTGTCTCAAAGGCCATCTCAGCGTGCCCTAAGGGTGGGACTGGCATGGAATTGAACCCAGGTCCCTGCATCTGCCTAAGCAGGCGCATTAGTCCAGTGAGCTTCTTGGCCAGCCCAAAGCTCTCTTTTACATTGTGGATGTTGGGCATTTTTTTTTTACAATGATGAGGGAAGTGCCTAAAACAATATTTAAGAGAGAAAGAATAAAGGATAATATTACCTAAAATTTGATACTGAGAAATATGAAAGAATTGCATACAAGATAATTTTTTTTAAAAATTTTTATTTAAGGAGAAAAAAGATATAATAGCAATGAAACAGTTTCAAAACAAGTTAGTGTGACAGTTACAATAATTAATACATTGCATATTGTTGTCTTCATAGTAGTTATTCAGAGGACAAGATGCAGACATGATACCTTGTCTAAGCAATATTAGTACAAACCATTCTTCTCATTGAACTAGGAGAAAGTAGCTGTATATCTGTATCCTATTTTGTGTATACATTTTTTTCACTACAAAACAGTCCTTTATTTATATCCCCCTTTTTTGTTTTGTTTTGTCAGAGATGGGTGTTCCATTGCGTTAGAGAAACTATATTTGGAGAAGTCTTTAAAGGACCTTTTCATACTTGATGCCAGTCCAAATATTGTAACTACTTGATTTCAGCAAAATAACCCAATATAGTCCAATAGTCCATACAAATAGTGGGTTATCAGCACAACGATATTTTTTTTATTCATAGAAGAAAAGCTGATGATCTAAAGAAACAGCATCCAAGCAGGGTGTGGTGGTACACATCTATCGTCACAGCACTCCTGAGGCTGAGGCAGGATGATTCCCATGAGTTCAAAACCAACCTGGGTGACACAGTGAGTTCAAGAGCAGCCTGAACTCCATAGTGACACCCTGACTCTGAATTTTAAAAAAAGAAAGAAAAAGAGTAAATATAAGTATGTTAAATATAAAGCTGACCACTGAACCAAAAATACCAACATCCCTATATATTAGGAGAACTTACATGAACTTTTTAGAAAAAAATAATGTGAAAAACTGAAGTGCCTACATCGAGTTGTATAACCTTTTAGAAAGTTGGCCTATAAGGACCACAAACCAAATCCAATGCTATGTTACATTATATTGTATAGATACCTAAAACATAGGCTAAGGGTTAAAAATAAAAAAGAATGGACCAACATATACTAGATAATGTATGTTTTTCAAAACAGGATTCAAATTTTTAATGAAATAAGGTAGAACCCAAGCCAGAATACATAAGCAAGAACAGACCTACACTTTGCAATCCTACAGACTGTAATCTATAAAATAATGGTGCACTGGATGACAGTAACTTTCATAAAGTACAAATTAGAACAGGAGTATGTAGAAGAACCTTAAAACTAAGTGACTTCACTTCTCTCAGTCTATGATGAATCAAGTGAACAACAACAACAGCAAATTAGAAGACAAACCTATACTAAGTAATGGGTACAGTGGGTGTGATGAGCACATCATAACCTACACATGATAAAAATAGAAGCCAGGTGAGATGCTGAGACCTATGACTCCAGGACCCAGGGAGCCTAAGCAGAAAGTCACAGCCCAGCCCAGGCAATTTAGTGAGATGACTTCAAAATAAAAGCTAAATACCTGGGGATGTAACTCACCACAAAGTTCTTAGCTTTACTTCCAAGTAGCAAAAGGAGAGGGGTGAAAGCTAGGCATGGACGACACTCTCAAGTGCCTTGTTATACTCATGAAATCTAATCTTATAAAGGTTGTAAAGTGAGCTTTAATAAATTCCAAAAGTACCAATAATATATTTTCAGCCTCTGAAAATAGTACAGGATGAATGGGGTGTTCATAACACAACCAGAAAAGAAAATTTCCCTTTTATCTTGAAATTTTGAAAAACTATAAATAACCTTTGGCTGAAAGGGAAATGTAAATCAAAATAGCAAGATTTCTAAAATAGTAACTGCCCATAAGATCTGGTACTGAAATTACAGTAATTTTCTGAAGAAAACACATTATCTCTACTTATTTCAATGAAAAACAAATACTAAGAATGAATTAAACATTCTAGGCTGGGGAGATAGTGTGGCAGTCTAAGCACCTGCCAGGCAAATGAAAGGACCTGGGTTCGATCCCTAGTACCACAGTGCTGGGCCCAGAGGTGTGGGAGCACTGTGCTGGCCTCTAA